TAACATCCAACTTAATTGTGAATTTGTGATTTGTGGGTTCATAATTTAATAATAACACGGTTCAAAGTATCAAATACGTGTCGTACACTCTTATCATATGATAGTAGTACATATCAGTTTTTGAGGTCATTCATACATCAAATAATAAGAATTAGGGGTTTTTTATTGGATTGAAACTTTAATATTCATCCTATTAGATCCATTTGTGAATTATTAAAATGACAAAATAATAAAACTATCCTATGGACCTTGATACACTAAGGCCTGCAAAATATTGATAGATAACTCTACATATTAATATCTGATGAGTGCAGATTTGGCCCTCCTGTGAAATTGCGACACGTGGCACCTCGTGACAAATAGGCAAACACCTAGGCAAACAACTTACCAAGTTGGTGTCCCACCCAAGCACCGGTCTGGCTGGCCTGGCGTGACCCGCACGCGGCCTACGAGCGACCTGCATGCGGCCTGTGCGCGACTTGGCGCGGCCTGCGCAACCTGGCCGGATCAGCCTGGCACATGATCCAACCTGGCCGACCTAGCAACCTATAAGATGCCCACCGAGAACCATTAACGACATACTCCGTGAGCTCGGCAGCTCACCAAGGAGCTCGCCAAGGAGCTTGGTAGCTCACCAAAGAGCTCGCCAAGGAGCTAGGCAGCTCTCCAAGGAGCTCGCCACCAAGGAGCCAAGCAACTTGGCATAGCTCCCCCTGGCTTCTCGCCACTTGTCGGGTAGCTCGGTACAGAAGAGTAGTTTGGCGTATTGCAGGAAGATCTCCTGCCTGACAACCTGGCCCAGACACCGACCCGCTGACTGACACAGGCGCCGATCTGGCAACCTGGCCCGGACATCGACTGACACAGGCGCCAACCTGGCAACCTGGCCTGGACACCGACCCGCCGATTGACACAGGCACCGACTTGACAACCTGGCCCAGACGCCGATCCACCGATTGACACAGGCGCCGACCTGACAACCTGGCCCAGGCGCCGACCTGGCCGCCTGACACAAGCGCCAGCCTGACAACCTCGAGGAGTTCATCATCGTACCCCGGTTCTGATGGGATATGACGAAGCTTACCGTTTGAAGGCTTTTCACCCACCTAACCCGAGAGGACACCACTATATAAGGACTCCGACCCCCATAGCCAAGGGGGAGGGGAAAAGGAATGGTAACCCCTGCCCTCTAGCTCTCTCATTTCTCTCCAAGCTCTCTGTAATCAGAATCCTAACTTAGGCATCGGAGAGTCCCCGCTAGGAAAATACCCCCGGGTCCTCTAATTCAGTTCTCGCAGGTCCCTCAGCTCCCGCCGCCTACAAAGGAGAGGAAATCACCTCATGCAGAGGGTAGTCGTGTTGCGCTGAACCAGGGAGCTCCACCATCCTCTGAGTTGCAGACCGCCTAGGAGCAGGTCAAATGATGAGTCCACCAGGGAGCTTGCCACCAGGGAGCTTGCCACCAGGCAGCTCGCCACCAGGCAGTTCGCCACCAAGCAGCTCGCCACCAGGCAGCTCACCACCAGGCAGCTCACCACCAGGCAGTTCGCCACCAGGCAGTTCACCACCAGGCAGCTCGCCACCAGGCAATTCGCCACCAGGCAGCTCGCCACCAGGCAGTTCGCCACCAGGGAGCTCGCCACCAGGCAGTTCGCCACCAGGGAGCTCACCACCAGGCAGTTCGCCACAAGGGAGCTCGCCACCAGGCAGTTCTCTACCAGAGAGTTCGCCACCAGGGAGCTGGCCACCAGGCAGTTCGCATCCAGGCAGCTCGCCACCAGGCAACTCGCCACCAGATAGTTCGCCACCAGGGAGCTCGCCACCAGGCAGTTCGCCACCAGGGAACTCACCACCAAGCAGTTCACCACCAGGGAGCTCGCCACTAGGCAGTTCTCCACCAGGGAGTTTGCCACCAAGTAGCTCATCACCAAGGCACGTCACCATCAGGTCAAATAACGAGGTACTTAGCCAAAAAAAAATTTATACATCACAAAAAATGGTACGTGATCAGAAACGGTTACATCAATACCCATCCTATACTATCTTGATAGATAACTCTACATACTAAAGCCTGCAAAATATTGTAGTTTCCTTTGTCAAACCATCTACCATTGGAGATGAGTGATGATCTAATCAGTGCACTCTCATTGGCTAGCTCAGATCTGCTACCCACGAGATGTTTTCACATCTCTTCCCACGAGACATGACAACTGAGAATTAGAAATATCTCTCTAGTAGATATTCTCAATACATGATAGTGGTGCTCTGTGGGTATAAATGAGAAAACAATTAACTGTGGGTAGCAGATCCCAAATCCTTATCACCAGTCACCACATTGCAAAAAGGTGAACCTGACCCTATGAGAAGTTTGAACCTACTTTTGGAATCTCTCGAATCTCCACTATTGATTCTTTAAGCTTATAATTATTTCATAAAAAGATCTTATGAGAAGTTTCTTGCTCAGGTGATTGTCCAACTCAGACCGGAACCAGCCGACTCAATTGTGAAAAATACATTTTACTGTTGGTGATTTGAGGGCTCATAATTTAATAATAACGTGGTTCAAAGTATCAATAACATTTAGGTTCAATTTGGAAAGAGTATAAATACAAATCTGTACAGTGCAAATGAATATAAAATAATACAAAATATTAGATTTTGCACTCTATATATTTATATTTGTACTCTTTCCAAATTGAGCTTTAGGAATTTTTAATTTTAATGGTTGTAAACATTAATACCCATCCTATTGGATACATTTATGAATTATCAAAATAAAACATGGATATCGAGTACATCGATATGATAATGAAAAGTGTAAAATGGTAGAAGAGAATTCATATAGCGAACTCAGGTTTGATATGGAGACCTTGAGTAAACTTGAGAGAACAAACAATTCAATAGAAGAATCTCTTAAGGAACCTTTTAAACCAACATCTATCGAAGCTTAGTCGAATACTAAAATGATGCAATATTTAAAACTATATGATTTAGAATAGAATCCAATTATCGAGTATTTCAAATATTGATTGCACATTAAATCAAAATTTCAATCAATAATCACATTAAAAATGTCACATGATCTAATTATTTTTTATTATTTATGTTACATAATCACTGTTCTTTTTCAATAATCACATTAAATTTTCATATATAAAAATGCCGACCATGGCCCATGGGCCATGGGTGGTTTGGTGTGGGTCAGGTCGCACATACCCAAAGTCCTCACCTGCTAATTTGCAGTTAGATTTGAGTAGGAAGAGTGGCGGTGAAATGACGAGAGGTAGACAGTTGATTTGCTTCAGTCGAGACATATTGTGGGAGCTTACCTAACTACCTCCCCCTCTCTGATAACCCCATTCAAAGTAAATCAGCTTGCACAAGGCAATGAAATTGAATTTCCCTCTCTGCTGATTAATATACAATGAGTAATTATTTCAAACACTTTGTCAGCAGTAGAGATGTTAGTAGGTTGGGTTAAGTGGTAAATCTGCACTGAACCGATTCTATTTGGTCCAGGTCGGATTGGGTCAACCTTAATTGAATTTCAAGTTAAGGTTCATCCGTATTAATCCAACCTCTTCATTTTACAACATTGAAATATTTGTATAATTAAGCTTGATTAGTATATATGTAGTGCATATAGGATGGATCGGGTTCAATAAACCCTTTCGATTTGATCGAAAATGATTAAGTTGAGGTTGAACCAAACTTATCCAACCCAATCCGTTGAGTTCCCTGGTTAGCAGGAAATTTTCAAAGCGTTGGTTCTTTGCAGAATTGATTTGGCAGGTAGTTGAGAGTCAAATCAGAACAAACCGAATTTTTTGAGCACCGGAACATACAGGTTTCAAATATTGTATTCGTACCTCAATTGTCAAGTAGGTACTGCAAATTCTAGAACCGGCCCTAGAACCAGAACCGACTTTCATAGGATAATTTTTTGTTCCAAAAAACATGAAACTGATCTGTTAATTTTGTCCCAAGCCGGATTTTCAATTATCAATCAGTTAGCAACTTTAATTAATCCCAAGGGCGGAGTTAGGGGGATTCAGGAGATCACCGTTCCCCTAGGTCTAAAAATTTCTACACATAATACATTTTTTCATATAAGTTTCTTTCTCTCTCCCAATTTCCACTCAATAATTAATCCCTTTATGGCCATTCATAAATTTTGGCCTCCCTTATAAAAACAAATTCAAATTCAGATTTGCACCTCATACAGGGCGCCCCACAACGTCCCACAACACATTCCCACCGTGTATCGAAAACATCTTCCGACACGGCGGAGATGTGCTGTGGAACGTTGTGTGGCGGAGATGTAAACTCAAAAAATTCCTGCTCCGCCCCTGATCAGTCGGGAGGTACTTAATAAGTTATCACAACCCGGTCGGGTTCAAATACATTAGAATTCAATCGAATCCGCTTTATTTATCTATGAAATAAAAATATAAAAATGTCAATTTATATAAATATATTAAATCATATAGTTATGACCGTTGATTTTCTCAATCAAGAAAAGGACAGCAATGATATATGATGATCACGAGCAAATAACCACGTGAATAAATCGTGTAATCCCTCGCGTGTTACTCATTTGTTGGCCGAATAATAAAGATTAGAACACTGTATGTTCTCCAACTTTGAGCCAACTTTTGGGCCAAAGAGTCTCGGACACGTTAAGAGCCAACCCATGACTCCTCAGTCATCACTCATCACCCATTAACCCTTCTACTGTGACTGCACCGACAAAACCCAATTAAGCAATGAAAAGGCCCACCACTTAGATCTCTACGAGGTCCACTTCTTTTACTTGGCCCAGTTCGACCGAGCTGTCGTGACTCGTCCGTTGTTATAATACCCAATCAGATACGGACACGTTAACAAAGGAAATAAAAAAAAATATCACATGATGTTTTGGATTTTATTTCCATCTCTAGCGTGTCCCTATATGATTGGTTACCACAGGGAAATGGGAAGGAAGTGATCGATCATATGTTAAGTCTAAATTAATTTACAGCCCTCTGACATCACCGTTCGTTCATCATCAATAAATATCTAACGATCAGATGATGGTGATGACAAAAGAACACCCTTTTGGGTCCCACACGTTTCTACAAAAATATCCTGATCGTGCCACGTTAGTAACTCCTCTATATATAACGTGCAGCATAGTATACAAGTCTGGTACACTCCAAGAAGAGATCCAAAGCTAAAGTGGAAGAGAAAACCAAAATTTAAAGGAATGGAAGCTTTCAATCCTGTAGCGCCGTTCGTCTTGAAAACGTATCAGATGGTGAACGATCCGGCCACCGATTCAGTGATCGTGTGGGGGAGAGCGAACAACAGTTTCATAGTGATCGACCCGATTGATTTCTCACAGAGGATCTTACCGGCATACTTCAAGCACAACAACTTCTCAAGCTTTGTTCGTCAGCTCAACACCTACGTGAGTATTAGCTTTAATCCCTTGTGACCCAGTTTTCGGTTTTCATGTATGGAACTGAGTACAGTACTGTAGCTTCTGTTTGAATTTCCATGAATCAGGGGTTCAGGAAGGTCGACCCAGATAAATGGGAATTTGCACACGAGTTGTTCCTCCGAGGGCAGAAGCAACTACTTAGGAACATAGTGCGGAGGAAGAGTAGCCGGAATCAGTACCTGATGAATCAGCCAAAGCAAGAAAACGGGGAGGAGAGGGAGGAGGAGGAGGAGATACTGATGATGGAGATCGGACGGTTGAAGCAGGAGCAGAAGGCCATAGAGGAAGAGCTCCAAGGGATGAACAGGCGTTTGCAAGTGACGGAGAGGAGGCCGCAGCAGCTGCTGGCTTTCCTTTTCAAAGTGGTGGAGGACCCAGATCTTATTGGTCGAATAATGCAGGAAAAAGATACAGCCAAGCTGGTTGAAGCGAAGAAGAAGCGTCTCATCTCCTCCGCACCATCCTCATCTTCTGCACCGACGAAAACAAAGATGAAGAAGATTGAGGAAGTAGTCCAACACGGCAAAGCTGCTACACCAGTCCCATTACAGGGCGTAGGTTACTGTCCTTGGACGACGTCGAACACTTGGCCATGGCTGACCGGAGGACCATATCTAAGTCAGACGCCTATAGTTACACCGTCATCCTTCACTCTCACCGGCGTCTCCTCACCATCTGCCTCTGGTTCTGCAACTGCAACAGCCATGAATTCATACCAAACCGACGACTCTCGGGAATACAGTGATCAGATGGGCTCCTTGCCAGAAATGGAGGGCAGCGTACAGAAGCCACCGCCTTATCCTTTCTCCCTCTTCGGTGGTGGCTTTTAAGAAGCTTCAAAAGGTCAAAAGATTGGAGACTGTCTCTCCCCCTTTCTTTTATTTGTGTACTTTATTTTCAAATTTTTTTATCTGTAAATTAATTAAACGGATAAGAACATTTATATTTAAATTATTTATATATATTTTGTGTGAAGAAAAGTGAGGCAGTAGAGTAGAGTGATCTAAAGGACGGATCACATGGGTCGTGCTGTACACGTGTCGTTCGATAACATGGTGGCACTTGTCACTGATTCAATGGAAGTACTGGTAACAATGAGCAAGAGTTGGATTCTTTTGAAATAAGGGATGGCTCTGACGAGGAATCGGTTCTGACTTCTGAGTCTGACTGATGAATGTGGGGTTCCGGGTTCGCACCTGAGGCCGTGCATCCTGAATTGAATGGAATAAACCCAAAATGCCAAATCTGAGTGACACATCATGGTCTTTTCGGTGGCTGTAGTGGGGTTTAACGGTGTAAGTGCAGACACATGGACTCGGGCATGAGTAGACACGTATCGAGAATCGGACCACAAGTTTGTCTGTTTTTAAACAAAGGTTGGAGGATGCAGAGGTGAAGAAAATACACGTCTTACGTGGGTTAATCGGAAGTGGGTGGGGTCGGAGAGAAATTAATCCATCGATGTACTTTTGTGGGATGAGAACGCGAATAGGACAAAAGTACGATAAACGATGTAGAGTGGCGGTATTGGGAAGGGAAAGTTTGATGAGATGGAAAGGTGTTAATCATCATTACGAGGCTGATGGCTTGGCCCGCTTCTAAGATCTCTGCTGTGTCGTTAACGTACTCGGTTCGCAACTGCGTCGATCTCGGTCGTCGCCTCGTCGGCATCCGGCAGGAACGGTGGATTAGGGCCCCCATGGCCCCATCCGAGTCTCCGAGAGGGCTTCTACCTTTCGGAGAAGCTGCTACTCACAAGCCGCTTAGGTTGAGCTTGAGCAGGAGACGTCCGACTAAGCTACTTATCGGAGTAGCTTCATCTTACAGTTGTTAAAAACGGCGTTCCGAAATTTTCGGCTTTTCAGATTTTTGATTAAACACATCTGATTGGCCTTTTGTGTGGGGCCCATCTCGGAATGCCAGTCCCTGTTTGGAAGCCCCTCCTAACGGGCAATATTTTTTTTTTTTTTTTTTTTTTGAAAAAGTCTCAGAATAGTACATGTAATTTGGGTCTAATACCACTTTGGTTCCCTATGCCAATCTACTACCTGTCATCAACGGGTCCCTTAACCAGCCGTTAAGTGCCATTTGAAAAGATAAAAATATTCTTCAAATGTCATCTAATTCTTTTTATCAGCCATCCAAACATTGACAAAAAATGAACACCTCTTCTATTCAAGAAAGTTTGTGTCACTAAGAATACCCATTGAAATGTAACCCCAGCTTTCTTATACAAGAGGCAAGAATTTGAGACTGTTCATTTTTATCAACATGTGGATGGTTGATAAAGAAAATTAGATAACACTCAAAGGACATTTATATCTTTTCAAATGTCACTTAATGGCTGTTTAACAAATTAGTTAATGATAGGTAGTAGATTGACACATTTTGAAAGTTTGGGTATTGAATTATCGCATTTTAAAGTTTGGGGAATCAAAGTGGCACTAGGCCCAAAGTATATGGCATTAATCAAGAATTTTCCTTTTTTTTTGGTAAAGAAGTAAAGAACGAGCGATAGATTAAGATTGTGATTTGGTTACATGGGCATCTATTGAAAAATTGCCACTACATCAGCGCTACATAAGCGTTGGCATTTATTGCAGATGAAGACTGTGAATTGACTTTTGTGCATGGGACATTTGGGGAAACGTCAAATTCTTGTTTCCCCCAATACCCCAACATTTTTTGAAACCAAATGCTGATGTGACACACTTTAATGAGTATTAATATGAGGTGAAAAGTAAAAAATGTTTAAAGTGAATCCCAACCAAATAACAAAAACAGGAAACATTTAAAGTGAAAAAGTACAGAAAAACGGTCTATCCATAAACACCCATAGAACCAAATACATACTAAGAGCCTGTTTGGGAGCGTTTCGGCATTGCAGGCAAGGTGTATTGATGCACTGTGGTGCATGGTTGAAAACACGTGTTCCAGAGCTTAGGAGTGTTCACAGTCCAATTCAGTGTGATTTGAAAAACATCTCAGACTAAACTTATAAATTACGGTTTGAGAAATTTCCAGACAAAACCAAATCACTTTGGTATAGAAATCGAATCAGACCAAGCTGTTTTATTACTGTTTGATGTAATTTCTAATACTATTTGAGGATTTTGGGCAATTCTATGATTTATTGGGTTTAGTCCAATTAGAAAGTTCAAATAACACCTCCAAAAAGTTACAAGTTAAAAGTCAAAACTTTTATTTATTAATGTATTATAAAATTAAAGAATATATTACTGTGTGAGGCCCAGCTGAACCAAACAGCAAACCGTGGAACGGATGTCAAACTGAACCAAACAGTAAAGTTGGATTGGTTCAGTTCAATTTTGGAGTTTAAACTGTACAATGAACACAGAACTCCCCTACCGGAAGTAGCTTCCTATTTCAGTCACGTTTCTCGTGTTTAGAATACGGTGATCAACTTTCTTGATTTTCACCAAACACCGCTTCTAGCATTACTGTGTGAGGCCCAGCTTAGAACATTAGAAGTGTCTTGAAAGCTCTCCCAAATGAGAAAAGATTGACTGAAAGTGACATGGTTTACTTAAGCTGGAATCTCCTTGCAACAAAAAACTGTCCCAGCACGCTTCTAACATCATCTGTTATCCTAAAGCTAGTAACCACCATATATAAGATGTGGGGACATATATCATGTTGGAATGGTTTTTTGTTAAGAGAACATATAGACTAGATCTACTTATGCTATGACTTGGTTTTACCCCAAGTCCAAAACCATAAATCATTCTCTTGGATGTATTGCTGCGGCACAATATCACTTCACCTAATTTTCAATGGCCCCTAACTCTACATAAAGGCTAGGGGTGCAACTTGGGCTGGTTTGAGTTGTGAACTTGTTAAATTTTCAATGGGCCCGAACCCTATCTCAATGTAAGGTCATAAAGGCTGTTCGAACAGGCCTTGCACTGACTGAAGCCGAGTTCCCGAATGAATTGATCCACACCAATTGCAAGTGCAGATCCAATAAGCATTTCATTGTAAGTAATTAGCACACAGGTAAAGTCTGGGCTATTTCAGTCCTGGATTTAATTGCTATATAGGACCCATATATCATATAACTTGTCACATATTCTATACAGAGTACGAAGAATTAGGGCCTATCGTTCCATGGCTAAGTTTGGAAGGAGTACAAATGCAATTATGTAGAGTGTAAAACCTTATATTTTGTATGTATTTACGCTGTATATATTTGCATTTGTACTCCGACTGAGCCATAGGTCCAATCTGATGAATGTTTGCTTTATCCTTTCAAATGCTGTTAGCCACAAAGAAGAAACACAGAAAGAAACAACCAAACAACACCACACAGAAAGGAAACAATAGCAAAACAAGAAAAAAAGAAAAATAAAACCAAACCAAACCTACCAACAGCAAATTAACTAAAAACACTACCAGAGTCCAAATCTTCTCTCATCTCAGCGGAAAAACAAAGGGGAGCTGTATAAAACCACCCGAGGTTTTTCTTCAAATCAAATTTAGCTACCGCATGGGCAACCTTGTTAGCTTCTCTGGGACACCAAAATATTATCCAGGTTGGAATTCACAGCAAACAAAAACAATCTCAAACAAAGCTTTTGCTTTAGCCACTAGAGGGGAGGAAGCACAAGAGCCCCCACAACCAGTTACCCAACATTGACTTTCATTATCACTTAACACAAAACCAACAACAGTCTTGCTTGAATTCAGAAAGCTACCATCAACATTACGGGGGCATTTTTTTTCTGGATTTTGAGAGGAGGGAAAGTTAGATGAGATTTTGATTCTTATTGACCAAAAAATCCATGTTCTTTTTTCAGATTTATATGGGGAACAGTTACCTAAGTGATACCCATCTCCTAGGTGGATAAATAGCTTTCCCATCTAGGGGGGAAAGTCACTAACATTTGAATGGGACAAAAATACCCCTTTTAATAATGAATTATTATGGCTAACATGGTCATTGTTTTATTTAACCAAAAAGCGAACAGGGCCTATATTTCTAAAAACCAACTGAAGGTCGTTTGAACAATTTACCAATCTCCTTTGCAAGAAAAGAGGTTTCTCCTTAATTGCCCGGAATTTCCCATAGAAGCCTCCAAGACTTGGGTTGAAGAGGGAGAGTAGATGACAATTTTTTATGCTTCTTAATAAGGTTCTTAGCCACAAAATAGGCTGACTTGACTGAGAAACTTTTCTCAAATGTCCAGAAGTTCCAATTACTATCATATTCCAAGCTGATCTTTGACTGAGAAACTTTTCTCAAATGTCCAAAAGTTCCAATTACTATCATTTTCCAGGCTGATCTTTGGACTTTGGTACACTTAGGCTGCCATTGGTTGCCGTATAAATTAATTTGCATTAATACAAAATTATGATACAAATGATTTGAGTGTAATTTTTTTTGTTTCAAATTTTACTTTATTTTGTTTGATTTTCGTAGAAATGAAGTAAAATAAGTAGAATAAAGTTAAATCCAAAACAAATTAAACCAGAATTTATATTTTTTTTCATTGACATTCCCAACTCCCATGCATTTGTAATAGTGCAAATATAGTTGCACTGCAAACAAAGACAGTCTTAATTATAATGTTTCATCATCAAACCATCGTCATCATCATCCAAACCTCTGCTGAACTATTATCTGTCTTTGTCCAAAGGTATTTGAGAACCTTTGTCCATTTTTTACCACAATCAGGGATGACTGTGATGCACTACTTCTGGGGAATGCCTTAGCATACTCTTGTCCATTTGACATTACATTTAGATTGAAGTGTAACCTATTAGGGGTGTTAATTGGACTGGATTTGGTCCAATCCAATCCAGTCCAATGTGAGTCCATTTTAAATGGACAAGGTCCAATCTAATCCATTGAAAATTTTGGATCGGTTCAATTCAATGTCTGGATTATCCAATCTGTTTAAATTCATTTTAATTAGATTGGTTTCAATCCAAGTTTAGTTCA